CAGTAGGTACTCAGTTAACTGGTCGAATCAATGTCATCCAGAGAGTGCTCAGATAGGGCTGAACAAGGGTTCTGTCAGAATCCAGAGCAGTGATGCTCAACCCAGATGTTCAGGGAAGGCTTCTCAGAGGTGATGACTCTGGAGCCGAGAGTTGGACCAAATGGGGCATCCCTGTTCCTCCTCCTCTAGAGCTCAGTGAGCGGGTTCCTGTTTCGTGGGTCAGTGAATAAGCACTCCCTGTCACCTAGGAATGAACGCCGTACACAGCGATAGTGCTCCTGTCACTGAGGGGCCCCATCTCCTGGGTCAATGAGCTGGCCTTCCCTCCAGGGAGTGAGGAACCTGAGACCAGACGTGTTGACCAGTCTCTCCCTTCCCCAGGGTTACCTTCCTCCCACCAAGAATGGGGCTGAGCCCAAGAGGCCCAGCCGCCCCATTAACATCACTCCCCTGGCTCGACTTTCGGCCACTGTTCCCAACACCATCGTGGTCAACTGGTCATCTGAGTTTGGACGGGTGAGCCTGGCTGCGTCGGGGGAAGGATGGAGAAGCCAGCAGTGCAGGGAGTGGGGAGGAATGTTTGGGAAGCCTCTTCCTCTCTGTGGGTCTCTGCTGCCCCTGGTCCTCATGGGACGAAGGGTTGGGGGGTGGTGTGCAGAGCAGAGGCTAACTGTCTCCCCACCTCCAAGTAGAATTACTCCTTATCTGTGTACCTGGTGAGGCAGCTGACGGCAGGGACCCTTCTACAGAAGCTCAGAGCAAAGGGCATCCGGAACCCAGACCACTCCCGGGCTCTGAGTGAGTAGCATCCTGCCCCTCTTCCCACTCGCACCTGGATCCAAGTCTTCCCGGGCCTCTAGCCTTTTGAGTCAAACCCAGACCCCTCTTACGACAATTTACCTCACTTCTCACATTAACCTCAACCCCCCTTACCAATCAGTGGTGAAGTCGGACCCCTCCCAGGCACCGTGTGACGCCCTTGCATTCCCTAACTCTGGCTCCCCTGGAATATGGGTTCTCCCCACTGGAAAGGATCTTTAGGGTCATCTACTCTCACCCTCTCCTGATCCTTCAGTTCCCTCTGGGTCATCTCTGCCAGAGTGTCACCAGCTGTACTTAAGCATCTTCAGGGATCGGGAGATCGCCCCACCCACACACTCACCCACAACATCACACCCCTTCATAATCCGACCCCAGACCACCCCCAGGTGACCGCCCGCTGGCCCCCAAAGGCTCGCTACCCAGCGGCCTCTCAGCCAGCGCCGTCTGCTTCCGGCCTCACCACCTGCCAGGCTTCCTCGCCAGCCTCACTTGCCTCATGGCTCCGGCTTCACTCTTGTTTCAGTCAAGGAGAAACTGACCGCTGACCCGGACAGTGAGGTGGCCACCACAAGTCTCCGGGTGTCACTCATGTGCCCGGTGGGTACCAGGGAGAAGAGAAGGGGGAAGGAGGTTCGGTTAAAACTCTGGACTCAGAGGAGGACGCCTGGGGCCACTAGAGTGAGGCTTTCTAGGGCGTGGAACGCTGACCAGAGAACTCCCCTCTCCGCAGCTTGGGAAGATGCGCTTGACCGTCCCTTGCCGTGCCCTCACCTGCGCCCACCTGCAGAGCTTTGATGCTGCTCTGTATCTGCAGATGAATGAGAAGAAGCCAACGTGGACGTGTCCTGTGTGCGACAAGAAGGCGCCCTATGACTCTCTTATCATTGATGGGTAGGGCCTCTCTTCTCTGTCCTTTCCTAGGACAGCCACTGGGACGCTCTCGCTCTCACATATATGCATGTGTATAAATATGTGTATATGTGTGTATATACATATACATACACATATGTACTCTGTCCCCTTTTATAATATCTACTTACATATTCCCAACATTGAGGACTTACTGTATGCTAGCATGGCGCTGAGCACTCCGCACACCTGTTTCCTCGTGTCCTCATAGTAACTGTGACAGAGGTACCATCATTACAAGAGAGGAAACTGGGGCCTAGACACGGAGTATTTTGCCCAAAGTTACATTATTAGTGAGTGGCAGAGCCACTGTAGTGAACCATTACAGCGCTTACAACGACCGGACCTCTCACCGAGCCCAGCAATAAAGTTCTTTGAGGGCCTGGATATGCTGACCTAGCGAGTTCTCTGGCCCCTTGCAGACCTGCTTCACGGTTCTTGCTCCCAGGCCCTTTTCAAGGTGGTGCGTGGAGTTCCCTCTTTCTGCTCCTTGTTTTGTCCCTGGTACTACATGTGATAGATGCTTAGAAGATACTTGTTTTAAAACTGTTTGCAAAGCTCTTTTACATGCAATACTTGGTCCTAACAACTCAGCTCAGTGGGGGGGATAATTCCCCATTTTGCAGATGCGGAAACTGAGGTTCAGGAAGATGAGTAGCAGAATTTCTTGGCTGATGTCCCTGCCACCTCCCAGTCCCATGAAGTCCCTTCTCTCCCTCCCCCAGTTTATTCATGGAGATTCTTAATTCCTGTTCGGACTGTGACGAGATCCAGTTCATGGAAGATGGATCCTGGTGCCCATTGAAACCCAAGAAGGAGGCATCTGAGGTTTGCCCCCCGCCAGGGTATGGGCTGGATGGTGAGTGACCCCCTGTCCCCCAGCGGAGCTAAGGCTTGAATGGCCTCTTCTCTGAGACACAGCCTCCTTATCACCCACAGGCCCCCAGTACAGCCCCGTCCAAGAGGGCAGTCCCTCAGAGAAGAAGAAGAAGGTTGAAGTTATTGACCTGACAATAGAAAGCTCATCAGATGAGGAGGACCTGCCCCCGGCCAAGAAGCATTGCCCTGTCACCTCCGCTGCCATCCCGGCTCTGCCCGGAAGCAAAGGGTATGAGGAAAGAGTCTGAATCTATTGCCGAAGGCACAGGAAAAAGTCAGGGGAGCTTTCTGGTCACGGGGCAAAGCCTGGTGCAGAGGGGACTTGGGGGGCCCGGCCGGACGAGGGCATTGGGGGTCCGCTGGCTGCCCCAGCTCCTTGTCTCCTCACAGGGTCCTGGCATCTGGTCACCAGCCGGCGTCGTCGGTGCTACGGAGCCCTGCGATGGGGGCGCTGGGCGGCGAGTTCCTGTCCAGTCTCCCGCTGCACGAGTACCCACCTGCCTTCCCCCTGGGGGCGGACATCCAAGGTAGGACGCGCCACCAAGTGGGGCCCCTCACTGTTCCATCCTCCCTGGGACCGGGTCAGAGCCCGCTCCCTTTCAGAGCTTCCCGGGTCTCTGCAAAGGGCCACAATCCAGGGAACTTTTTTTTTTTTTTGCAGTAAAGGGGTCAGACAGGAAGTTGATTTTAATATTTTTCTTCCCAGGTTTAGATTTATTTTCTTTCCTTCAGACTGAAAGTCAGGTAAGTGATCCCTTCTCCTATGAAGATCTCAGGTTCCTGAAGCTTCCTTTCTGGGACTAGTGGGCACCCCCCTCTCTCTCTTTTCCTGTGGACCTAAATTGGCTTCCCTGTGAGAGAAGAGGGGGTGGAACAGGCAGTTCATTTCCCTCCGAGGCCCCCCTAGTACTTCCTCAGATTCTCACCTACGTCTTCCTCGATCCCTGTTGCTGTTCTGTCTCCAGATTTCAGTATAGTCCGCCCCTCGCCGGCTCACCCTCCGTGCCCATGTGCACTGAGCGCCATGCCTGCCTCCTCCGGCCCTTCCTCACTTCAGACACCCACAAGGCAGGGAGTCAGGGTGGGTGTGGGAAAGTAG